TTTATAAAATAATTCGGAATTTAAATATTTAAGCGACGATTAATTTAATAATTAAAAAATTGGTGAGTAGTATCAACAATTGACTTATTCGACATTTAAATTTAATTGAAATTAATGATTATACCGATGTCTGAATAAATTAGATGAACTAATTTTTTCTCTCAGCGCACATAACTACATTTTTTAGAAATTAACTACGTTGTTTATCAATCGTGCATACTCAGACATGCATAAATGAAATGTCAACAAATGCCACTCAAGCCTCATAAACTCGACTTTCAGAATTAGATTGCTTCTGCGAATGGCCCCATTCCAATCGATTCCACTCCAGATTAAATGAATTCCCCATTGCGTAAAGCCTTAATCGAACGTTCTCGAGATATCCATAATCAACTAATTATGTTAACTACCTCGGAAAAACATGGCCAATTACCCTTCGTTAATTCTTTTCCATTTTCTGAAGGAGAGATTATTCAAAAATAATCGCTCCATCAATATCTCAGATCGAAAATACTCAACTGAACTGAATATTCTAAGATTTTCAACTTCCATAAATCTCCTCCCAAGTCCCAATTTCTCAGTTTTCAGTTTAATGGACCAATTGTCCACTCCTCAATTGACCCAGCCGTCATCTCTCAATTCATCTGCGAAGAAATGGGCACAATCATACTGAATAACTCGCGATGCGCCTCCGTCTGAGAATAACCGAGTTACCCAGTGATCCGTTATGGAAATAAGAGGAATAAAATAAAATTGGAGATAAACAGGAGCGGAAAAAATCGCGGTATATCTCCAGTGCATATCCACTGGAGAATCACTCCGGATGATCCCCTCCCCCCCTGCCCCTGGTTGTACGGTACATTCCCTCCTATTCTGGATGAATCTCCAGTGTCTCTCAACCAACAAAACATATTTCTGCAATTTTTTACGCCACGTGACAGCCACTTCATGTCAATGACGGTCTGGTCTGGTAATTATCGAATCTATCATGAGATATCAAGAGGGTTCTCTTGTTGGGAATTTCATGGAATGTTGAAAAAGGGGCTCTTGACATTTTCTGCTTGGGGATATCCATGAATTTTTAGTTTTGTGTGGACCAGACTGTAGATTTGATGCTTTTCATTTATTTTCTATTGGAAATTTTCTATAGAAAAACGCGTCATAAAACTGTGGAATTCTCCAATAGTATTGGCCAACAACTAATAGGATTTTCTATTGAATTCTGTAGGGAATTCTATTGAAAAGCTGCAAATTCTTTCATAGGGCTTTACTATAGCATTATTTAGGTTTATCTATAGAATTCTGAAACATCTATAGAATAGTAAAAAAAATCTGTAGACGTTTTTTCAATTTATAGAATTCTATAGACAACCCTATGCAATGTTATAGATTTTTCTTAAAGTTTCTTTCTCATTGGCTTTTTATAAAATCTGTAGAATTCTATAGGCCTATCACATTTTTTCGTTCACGTAAAAAAAAAATATTTTGATCTCTCAGGGCCCCTCAACGCAAACCCTAAACCAGAAAATTTCCTCGATGATCGAGTGACTTGACAGTCACTGAAGTTAATCGCCTTGGCCTGTCAATCCCCCGCCTCTTTTTATAGTAATACCCACACATACGAATTTCACTCCAGTTTAATGCAGAAGTGGACGCTTGATAAGACTCAACTGTTATACTCTGTTCTGTTCCATCGTAAACGACTGAGTAATTTCTAACCCCAGTGTACCTACATCTGCGTTTGAGGATGGTTGAGAGAGGGTAAAAGTGAGTAGAGGGCACTGAATGAAAAGAGTGGGAAAGGATTTGAGTGCTTCGGCTACTGAACGAATCACTCTGCAACGCCAGTTTGCTGAGGCATGTCAATGCCTTCTGGTTATAACTATCGCATACTCTGAATTCTCAGTGATTACATATCTCAAATTGTCAGGGACTTTGTGAGTCTAATTGAGGTATGATTTCATATTCATTTTTTTTGCATTCATATTCAGATTTTTTTTCTCTCGTTTTTATTTTTTTCCCTTCATTTTTTGGTTCAATTTATGCTTTTGAAAGGGAAATGCCTACTGTCGCGGCTGATGTGAGTGATATTGAAAGAACGGAAAATGTTGGGGGTGGGTGGGGGAGGGTGGGATACAAAATGGTCCAGCAGGTGGTTTTGTTAAGAGAGATGGAGGGGGAGGGGTTCTCGGTGCGAAGGTATCATTAATTTCACACGTCGGTTGAGATCGATCGCATCGTGGTAGGAATGGTCAATGAATCATCCCCGTGACGAGAATTCTGACGGTAGTGCTCGGTCACGTATACAATGTCTCCATTTCTAGGTATTTTCAATTTTGTTTGGGTTGTTGAGGGGCTTTTTTTGTTGAGGGGGGGGAGGGTTTAGTCAGGGGAATTGAGAGGGTTAAATGGGGATATGGGGGTAAAATCGAGCGGAAGGGAAAGAATGGCCAAATAATCCTGTGGAAAATTTCTTCTTTTTTTTTTCATCGAGTCTTAAAAATTTGCAATTTTCCACTCCCAAAAATCCTTCGTTTTTCGACAATTCCAAAACCTGACATTTCAAAAGAAATAAAAAAAATTATTTCTCTCAATTGGTCCAATCCCATCAAAATATTTCACCTCGCCACCCATTCAAAACCCTATCTTCATAGTTCTGAAGATTCACCTCTAAAGAATCCATAACAATGAAACGTGACGTGAACGATGCAACCGTGTTAAAATATCAGACCCGGTGAATAAACTGAGCCCCAACAGGAGAGTAAATCCAGTGGTGTTTGAGATGGTGTCACTAGCGAGAACGAGAAATCAGGCGTAAGGAGAGGGAAAACCGCGGGGATGGGGGCACTGAATAAATTTGTTAACGCAAGCAAAATCGAGACGATTGAGGGCACACGACCGTGGAATTCAAAATGCATCGACAATTTGACACAAAGCACAGATAAAACTGTCGAGTAATGCGCATTTTCGATCGTATGCATTACAAATTGTGAGTTTCAGGGGATTCAGTGTCTGCTGTGTTACACTTTTGAGTTACGAGCGAGTCGTAATCATTGACTGGCCATCATTTCCTCAGTCGTTAATCAACTGAGGTGGCGCATGAAAATAAATAATTTTTTTTTTCAGGGAAAAAAAATTCTCACTTCTTCCCTTCATTTATTTTCATGTTTACGGTTTAGCTGTACTTTACGACCTGAAGTGCATGTATAATTTGGGGTAGTAAAAGGTTCATTAATTGCATTGGGAGGAACGAACGGTTTACGAGCTGACGTTCTGCGAGTTTATGTTTTCAAAATGAAGAGGAAAATATTTGTAATTATGAGACACAATGAGAAGTGGAAAGCTGGGGAGATTTATTGGATTCGTTGATTGTTATTTTATTTCAAGTGGAACACTTTCACAATTCCGTTACAAATTTCATTTGAACCACGAGGAATTATGAAACCTCAGGTGTTCTTCATGGCTAAATTTACCGAGTCGCTTCTTAATTGATTCAGAAAAATTAAAAAATTTCTCCAACAATATGATAATAATCCGATAAAATTGTTAGGCTGCAATTCTCAATTTCTGCCATTTATTCTATTTATTCCATCAAAACACAAGGATAGAAATCGAATTTATGGGTATTCTTTCATTATTTGAAAGAAAATCGATTTAAAAATTTTCCTTTTGTTTTATGTTTTTGTTTTTTATAGATTAATTCAGCGACGGGACTGAAGCGCCCGTTCTCTGCAGACGACAGAAGTGTCTTAATTTCGAACACAATTTTTTCTAGTGCAGAATTCATTGAAAAGGCCTTGACCACTCCAACAATTTTCTCCACCTCAAACATTCACTTAAAATCCCTCCACCAAAGACCCCTCATTGACATCGGCCAGAAATGCCCGATAATAACAACCATCTCAGCCCATTCGCCGCACAACTATCGCCCATTATTACATGACTACTAATCTCGACTCCATAATCCATTCCGCAAGCCCCAACGGTACCAATATCTATGCACAAAATAGCCGGTAAATACAGTTTTGATGCTGTGTGCTCAGCACACTCTCACTCGCTAGAAAATCCTCGTGGTTTATTTAGACTATGGGCCGTTACACTCGGTCGAACGTGTAGAGTGCCTCCTCCTTCCAGCAAAACAGTCGTGCGACTGTACTTGCTTAATGAGGCAGTCAATCGTCGTTTTATCGAGTTGCGACCAATGACGGGGAGTATCTTTCCCCTCAACAACCCCCTGCACTCCTTCACTGTACGATAATTACATGGCGAATAAATAGAGACAGTGTTTGTAATTAATTTTAACACTCGATTTTTTCAATTAAATATGGAAAGTGCCCGACTGAACGTAATACACGTTTAACATTTAAAAATTTATCAAACATATGCGCAAACACCGAGATAGCCTATTGAGATTCGCATAAACTTTGTCTTGGTCCGACCTTTAGCCTCCATATCTCAGCCATAGGTATGCTGGCTTTCGCCCAGGCTGAGCACCTACGTGAGAAGTAACCAGTTTTACCTAGGGCTTCATACACCACAGGCAATGTTACTCACACCACTTCGTCTAAATTCCTGATAAAACATTTCTTTTCTGGTACTCACTCGTGTGATATTTTACTCCTTTTCCCACTGGAGTACTTGAGGAACTTTTACTCGTGTCATCGTGAGTTATCGTTCTCAACTTAATGTAAATGTCAGAGGCACGGTTGTTGACCTTTGTGATACCTTGATATTTCTATTTATGGGGATAGTTATTGTCGTAAACCAAGATGTAGAGCATTTGATTGAGAGTAATGGATGCAGCTATTCATTTCGCGTGAAATAAGGAAGGACGAACGTCAGTGAAAGGTTTCAACATTGAATTATTCCCGTTAATCTGTACTTTATTGAAATTCCTCGGGATACATTCAATTTACTGAGAGAGCCTTTCATCTCCGCGCAAAAAACTTGGACATGTAACCAATTCGTCGACTAATGTATAAAATGTTCTTTCTCTTCAGGAGGTCTGAAACACGGTAATGGTGGTATTCCAAGTGCAAGCAGTTCAAGGAGTACGAGCCCGAGTCAACAGCATTCACCGCAGGGACTCTCCTTCATCCCTCAACCGAGAACCCAGAGTAACACCAACAGACAGCCCCCAGCGACCACACCAAGGTAAACACCCCTCTCAAACACCCAAAACAAAGTATCAAAGAATAATTGAATGCCTTCCGAAGATATTAATTACTTTTCTTCTCTCTTCGAATACAGTCCGAGAGCTTCGACAGTTGGTCGCCCAGGTGGTGGTCTCCGGGCGCCCCAACCGTCTCCCTACACCGCTGCACCACCGCCTCAACAGAACAAGAACTCAGTTCTAGACAAGTTCAAGCTATTCAATAATAAAGATAAGAATCAGGATCGTGGCAAGGCTTCATCCGGTGCGTCAAAACGCACGTCGAGTTCTTCTGGCTTCTCATCAGCTCGGTCTGAACACTCCGACAGCTCAACGTCCCTCTGTGATCAAGGGAAACCCGTGGAATCACCGAAGACACGTGCCCTCAAGTCAAAACTTCAGACAAAACCAACGAAACAATCGAGCCCTAAATCTGGCCGGAAAGATCAGACAAAAGCTCAGAGTAAAATAGCGAGAACTAAAGGACCTCCTGAGAAAACAACCTATCCTCTTCCTGCAGAAGACCCTAAATCAAGTAAAATCGTCCTTGGTCCAAAAATTTCCGAGAAAAAACCAAGCAATCTCGAGGCTATAAAACACACCACAAATCCCCAGAAACAAAACTCGGTTCTACTTCCCCCTGGCCATCAGAAACCAATCATCCAGGATCAGAAGATATTGCCGAGTGTGAAGAGTAATGACCAAAAATCTATTCAAAGGCCGAAGATGGAATTGCCTGGTAAGATGCCAGATCCAAAGATACAGAATGTTAAAGTGCCACCCAATGGTATCCACAAAGATGTGATAACTTCCAAAGGTCTTCCAGGGGGTAATGGATTGATTAAGCTTCCGAATTTGAGTCCAACTCAGGAGAATCCACCGAGTATGGATAAAACAATGAGTATGAATCAGGTGAATACGAATCACACCGAGGCAAAGTGTAATAACGAAGTTCAGAAGGTTAAGGATTTAGAGACTGATCTCAGTAACATGAAGAGCGCGTTGGAGGATATCGATGGGGATAGTAAGCCCTATGATAATCATATCAGGAGTGACCGGAGTCCAAACGAGAATATCCTAAACTCACGGAATCACCAGTCTTCCATTGAAAACATTCATATCAACGATAACGACAATTGTCAATCCTTGGTCGATGCATCGTCTGGCCTGAATAAACACCAGTCACCTATCAACACTTCGTGTCCATTACCCGGGCCTAATGGCGGGGGTCAGACAGCACCTGGTGTCAGTCCAGGCTCAAGCATTCCAAAGCCAACAGCACTTGTCAAAGGTACGACAAAACCACCGAAAGAAATCAATCCTCTGAGCATACCAACTGCTGCCAAATTGAAGGGCGATGTGTTACATAGAAAATTGGATCCCAATACAGTGGCAATGGTGTCACCAATGCCGAGCATATCAGATCTCATGTCTGAGAGTTCGCATAGCAACTCAAACAGCACGGGACAGAGTAATTCGAGTGACAGCAGTGTTATATATAGACCTAGCAGTGAGAGCGGAAGTGAGATTAAAACTATACCCAATAGGAAAATCGATACCACGTTTGAGGAGATGGAGAAGGTAGATATTAATGAGAGTTTTTTCTTTGTGAATGATACTCAGAGTTGTTACGGGTCAGCTAGAGATTCGTTTGATTTATCTGGGAATGAAGATTTTATTCAATTATAGATCTTGAGGGGAATTGCTCATGGACGAGATGGTGGAGTAATTAATGAGGTTTATTTATGGAGCACTTGGGGTAAGGGAATTTTTAGAGGGCTGGTATAGATTTACGATTGGCAGGGCGCGTAACAGCAGTAAAATCTTAACAAGATGGGATTTCATAGAGAATATTGAAGCGCTGGGTGTAAAACGTAAAAGGTTCATTATCATATATGGGGCGACGTAAATTAATATATGTCGACTCTTAGAGTAGAGGGGAGAATGAACACCTGATGAAATGCGTTTTAAGGACACATTAGACATTGATAACTTCACAAGAATATATGAGAATTAACGATCAGGGTTATCTCCATTGTTGAGACGTTGAAAACACGATTTATCTCATTGTCAATACAAGACATTTAGTTGAAAATAATTAAAATAGTCAGCGAAACATCGTGAATCATCGTATCGTGTAACAGTGCACGTGAAATCTTCATTATAAAAAATCAATGAAATTAATTAATTTGAGATTAAGTCTCTTCCATTGAGTTACATGATTGGATTACTGCACGTGTGCATAATTCCAGTGGTACATTTAATGTAATATCAATTACCATGAGTAATGTTCATCAGAAAGCATTGTAGTTCCTTTGATACTGCCAGCAGGGCGCATAACTCCAATCTCTATCAGAATCGAATTTACAATTATGAATATTCATGCCACAAGATTAGTGACTGCAGCGAAGTCAGTGGAACTTTCTACTGCATTACAAAACAGAATGCATCAATGATAAACCAAACGAATCTCCCACAGTATTCGATTCGAATAGCAGATAGAACGGCCCAGATCAGGAGCGAAATTATCAAATCAAAAGAGATTTATCAGTTTCGTTGATCTTTTTCGCTTTCATAGAATCTCTTCATCTGTAATTTTATTCCATCGATGGAACGATGAGAGAAATTTATACAGTTGTGAAGTAATACTCAGAGGAGTGACATTCAATTAGATTTGAGGAGAGAACGATCATAAACATTTCAGAATTCACTGAAAATTTAATGAAATTCAATATTTTTTAGCATCAAGAAGATGAGAATTTCACAACTTATTTGAAATTTCAATCAAAACATGAATATTCAGTTCCGAATTACCCAGAATTTTCCATTGATTGAAAATTCAATAATATACTTACCTGAACTATCTTAACTACAATTCTTTTTACGAAATAAAGGACCTGAAATTTATAATTTCCCCATAATCTTAAATTTTTAATAACGGAATGTTTTGAAATTTTATTAGAACTAGAATGTGTTTACCCAAAAAATAATAACAGTCCACCAAGAGATGTGCTTGAGAATCTATCTCTGCAATTCCATCGGAAGGTTCTTCCCCACTGAAACCACCACTTCAATTTTAATTAAAACGAGTGAAATCGAATGGATTTCTCAATTCTTCCTGCTTCAATTTCCCTCCAGGTTCTTGCCGATAGCTGCGGTGGCGGTACCGTTGCCGAAGACGAGGGAGAAATGAACGTAAAACCAATGCAACCACTTTTACGTGGTTACACACCGAGTGCAAGATGTCTGCAAACATTACCATCACGTACAACCGGTAGACAGTACACAATACTACACTCGTCGTCGCATCACCACGTTGCCCAGGATTATTCGGACATTGACATTGCATCGGGTTATTTAAGCGATGGTGAAGTGCTGAGGGGCGGTGGAATTAATGTTGGCAGCCGAGCATTATCGGATTTGTGCGATGGTTATATGTCTGAGGGCGGTGCATCACTCTACGCGAGACGAATCAATCCGTCTTATGGTCACGATCATGACAAGTAAGTGGATGATATCTCATAAGGGTTAATGAGAATTTTGCGAAGTGGATTTTTGGGTGGCAAGGGGAGACATGATAATCTATATGCCATAACTTGGGTTATTGCGGAAGATATTTCCATTTTTTTGGGGGGAGAGGAGGCTACCGGCAGCAAATGGAGCTGTAAAAGAATCGTTAAATGGGGTTTGGGATTATGGCGGTGCTTTGGCCGAAAATTCAGGGGACATGGTCAGCGAAATATTCGCTGGGAGAAAATGTGACTAGTTTCTGGTAGAGACGCCTCAATTTCAAAACTCTTTCATGCTTAAACCTAGCGAGCAACATATCCGAAAAAGTATCAGGGGATTTATCTAATTGTCATTTTGCGACGTTTCGCCAATTATTTTAGTCTCATCAGGCTCATGACTCGATCAATGTTATTGGCTACCGTACTGACTTCCACTTGTCTAGTAATCTCCAGGAGAATGACCAAAGTAATGACAAAGTAATGAAATTTGAGAATTCACTGAAAATCCAATGCGGGACGTGACAAATTATGAAACTCTCGGCAATTACAGCACCATAATCATTCCGAAGCAAGACAAGTACAAGTCTAGTTCCACATAATCAAAATGACGCATTCGCATGCGTTTCACGTCATCCAAATGACAAATTACATTCCGCCTAATCCGGACTATTGATTAAATAATCAGTGTCGTAATGATATTCTCCATCCCTTCTTCCATTATTCAACCGGTTAACCGTAATGTCACACACTGATTGGCCCAGAGACTTTTTTCCTCCCCAAAATTGATATTCTGGGTATGTAGCGCTGTCTATTATAACGTCCGCAAGACATTCCCCAAATATACAACGGACTCTTGGCAATGATGAATGGCTTACCCGGGCGTAAATTCACCGTCTTATTTCTCATCCTTTCCGTCTCAAGAATTTCCTCTAGGCAAATGCCAACATCGCGTTCACGCATTTGTCTCGGAAAATACACGTGCTGGTGGTGAGACGTGCTTTATAAATATGTGTCCATGTGCCTCGCAAACACAAACAGCGTTTAATTAGAGGATATTTGTGAGGGTTATTTCAACGTTGCATCTCTCACTCCTGGAAAACTTGATACTTGAGTGGCACTCACTCAGAGGACTCGTCGGCCACTGTTTCTCCTGTGGCATCTCTGGATTAATTTGATCGAATCAACGTACGATACTACTTGGGTATGTATACCACGAATACTGTGGCTGTGTCCGAGACTCGTTGTAATTGGCTTGTGGCTGCATCTGTGAATATCTTGGTTGTTTCGAATTTGCGATAATACTGTGGGGGTGGGTAATTGAATGACTGAGGGGAAGATCTCATGCATTCTGAGATGCATAATTTGATGAAAATTGTGAAGTGGAATGCGTTCATAGTTGAGAACAGTTTGGGGCAATGTTGGGTTCATGTTCTGAATATTCTGCAAACTCTCGAAAGCAAAACTTCGTTCTTCTTCCGCGTGTTCATCAAAAACCAATCATGTGAGATCAGAAGATAGTGACCAGTGTCAAGAGTAATGATCATAAATCTATGACCAAAGATACAGAATGTTAAAGTGCCACCTAATGGTATCCACAAAGATGTGGTAACTTCGAAGGTCTTTCAGGGTGTGATGGATTGATTAAGCTTTCGAAGTAAGCTTCCGAAGCAATTGTCAAAGGTACGACAAAACCACCGAGAAAAATCAATTCTCTGAGCGTACCAACTGCTGCCAAATTGAAGGGCGATGTGTCACCAATGATAAGCACATCAGCTCTCATGTCTTAGGTCGTCATTTTTTACCTTAAATTCTCTGCATGCTAGTTTATTCCGAGCACATCTGGATGATACAAATATCTGACTTCATAAATTCATAACAGTTCTCCGCATGAAATGCAAGACCTTAACCCCTGGAAAAATAACTTCGTACCACATCCTCCGAGATTGCGAAAATTACGATATCAGATGTATCGAGAGATATGTGTGACGTCTTTTGCAATTCCAGTGTTATCCCAACGTCTCGCGATATATTCATGCGCATCCCTACATCCAGTGTACATACATTCTCACAGACATCGTCTCTGGTCCGGGTAAACTCAATTTCTTTAATCTGAAATACAATTTCCCCTTCTTCCACCGCTATTTAATCCAAAATTATACAATAATAATCTATCATGGACAAATAAGCCCGCCAGATAACTCACGAAATTAATTTGCAAGTCAATTAGCGTACTCTGCATACTTTTGTCTCTTCAAAACAAGTGAAGATAACTCTATCTGGCTACAGTTTTTGCATTCACAAATAAGGAAACGAATACAACGAAATCTATCTCCGCTTTCGCCATACTCGCATTCCCGATTAATTCCTTTATTCCCTTATCCGCAGAAATGCTCCGTAAATACCTCGTTGGCCAAACATTTTACTTGTCTCCAATCGAGAATAAATTCTGCTTTATTCACCTGAGACTTCTCCGATAATACTACCCAACTTTTTTTCTCTCAAATTCAATTGTTGTCGAACTCATCTCGCTGCAGCTGAAATTTCCAGATACTGTCCTCTAAAATAGGATAATCTCGATTAGTCGCAGCTGAGTGAGTTTGAATTCTCCTCGTTTCTACGCTCGAGAAACCCTACAAGATCCAAACACTCACACCCCAATCCCCCTTTCTCCACCCTAATCGCGATATTCCGTATTGACATTCACTTCTTTCTTCCATCTTCCTTGGATTTTCTCTTACAAGACTGCGCATCATCGTTTTCAAAAGCCCTTGGGCGTTGTTTTCACAAGCGCTTGAGACTCCTACCCACCTTCTTTAAACTCAATCGACCCTGTGGCCGCATATCATTTGCCCTGAAACCCGATTCCCTTTTTTCGAGGAAATTCAATATACTCCCTTCTCGGATATATGTGGCCTACACTTGGATCATCAGAGCTATTGGGAATCCCTATAAATTGTGTGTTCTCATTCATATGATTATCTAGTAAGTCCAGAGGGAAAAGTTGAGAAAAAATTACCAAATGGATCAAGTAATCGTCATGGAGAAAAAAAGGTTCTGATTCTCACTAATTTTTACTGAAATTTTTGAGGTTGTTGAATTGACATCGTTATCTCTTCAAATAATCTTCATTAATTATTCAAGCGATATTGTTGGGGAAGACGTGGATGAATAACATATGAATAAAGTTTAACGAAATACTTGTCATACCGGTCGCGTACAAGCGCTACACATACATCGGTGAACATGCGCTCACGTCTCCTGTGGCGCGAACACGTACTAAAGACTTCGGTAAGAGAAACGGGAGCAGGCAATGCTCATTTCTGACAATTATGGTGTCACCCCCCTTTTTTTTTCTTCAACTTTTTTTCTCTTGGTTTACGTTTTATTCACTGTAAAAATTGAAAAAAATCTGGTTCATGCGAGAGATAACCACCGAAAGTATCATTCGCTGCCTCAAAAATTCATCGCGCACGATAAGACGCTGTCGTATCTCCTTTGTCCCCTCCCAACCCGTAACAGAAGACGTTGAGCCTTGAGAAGACTCGTCTTCGGCTTCTACCAAAGGATAACATTATCAGTCCACCTAACTGATTCACCTGTTCTCCACGATAAGCCAAGAGTAAACGAGCTCCATTTGTTCCCGTTCTCCGGCTTAATTTATCTGGATGTTATTTCTCCTTCCAGGCAATCCTCCCGAACAAACACTCCGATTAAATTCACTCCCTCCCCCACGTATAGGTGTTTCAAGGATCCTTATCTGGTTTTCGAAAATCGACTGCTTCCTTTTTCGCCAATAATTTCGTAATTTTTTAGTTGATGGGAAAACATGGAATTCATTTTTAATTTATATCATTTATTTATTTATTCATTCATTCATTTATTTATAGCGTAACGCGATAGATAAATACACAATTTAATGTATTTGGGGGCACAAAAGTTTCTCAATTTCAGGCCCAATTTTTTCTAGTGCGAAACCGATTGGGATCCGTTTGAATCGTTCTCATTAATTTCCATGACTTCCTAAACCTCCCAAAAACACTGAGCTAGAAATAATTCCTTCCACCGCATTAGCAGAAACATGGTAGCACCTTGAACACCAGTATTATCCGCAAAAATCGAATATTTATGTATCGACGAAGTTTCCCCCATGAATAATGCATCAGGGATTGTTTGTTATTCAAGCCTCCCATGATCCCACAAGATTTTTCCCAACTTTTCGTGTACACAAAAAGCGAGAAAAAAAAATCTATTGACCGTGAAGCCTCCGCGGAGCCACGCATCCTCGGCTTCTGCTTGGCATTAGTGTCATGACTCTAGCGAAAATTTATTGACAGATTGTCTGTACTCTGTACTGTAGTCTCCACATTCAGCAAGATGAAGGATGAGACATTGATTTTTGATGAATTATGATAGGGTGGGGTATCTGGTGATTTATTGGTTCATTTGAATTTATATTGTGAATTTATATTGAAATTCCAATGGCATTTCGAGGAATTCTGTCATTTATAGTTCAAAATTTTGATAAAAAATCCATGGAAATTGGAACTCTCAGTTTCATTTCTCCATGAAAATATAGCCTTGAATTTTCAATTAATCAAAAATCCAGTGCAATTTGGTAATTTGTGTAATTTGAAATGCCATTTTTCCCCAATGGAAAGCAATGACTCGGGAAAATTTACTAAACGCGAGGGTAATTTGTGGCGAGTCTGTAAAATTTCCCATTTATTTCATCAAAAATTATCCCATCAAAAAATAGTATTTTTCTATTGAATTACAATTTCCCTCCACAAAAATTGCAAAGTACTGCCAATTTCCTAATATCATGTTGAGCATTGTGAGAAAAACCCCGCACGGAGAGAAATGTTCAGTAAAAATTACGGAACTCACAATTCGCTCGCCGATTACGGAATCGACTCAAAAAATTTAAGTGACGATATTGTAATTTTTCACAGGATATTCAGATAAAAATTACGGAACGCTGCGGAAAAATTCCGTGACAGTTCCGTAAAATTTCCTGCACCCACATTGTGCTCCGCAATTACGGAAAAGATACGTAATTTTTATTGAATGTTTTTCTCCGTGCGAAGAGCCCGGAAAAATCGAACATTATCCCTCGCCACCCTTATCCCTTCCACCGAAATAAAAACCCCTCGTTAGATGCCGCCACAGTGTCGATTTCCGTCGGTGAACATCTCCTCACTGAAAAGCCCACGCTTGCGTGTTAAGGTCGATCGATCGTACCTTAGGCATATCCTGCGATCTCGTGGTACTACGTAAGGGCGTAAGGGGGCGGTTTGTTTCAGTGTTGCTCGTACGTTTGAGTTGAGTATGGCAGAGAGACCGGTGCTCGGCAGCTGGCTCAACAGAGCTGCCAGAGGGACAAGGGAGTGAGGATAGGGTTGAGGTAATTGGACTGCCTCTCTGTTCGGTTCTGCTCTGTTCCATTCCGTTTTTATCCGCGGGTGGGGGTGGAGCAGAAAAAAATTGAGAAACCCCGTGGTTTCGTGCGGGGGATGGGGTGTCTCGGGACCACTGGTGAAGACGTCGAGGTTGACGGATAGTTTTTCCGGGGGATAGTGTACGCGAACTGTGACAGTCGGGTTTCGTCGGCCCCTGGGTACTCGTCAACAGCAAAACTCCGGTGGTTGTTGTGGTGCTAGTGGTGAACATGAGGCGAGGCTTCGGGATCCCTTGTATTTAATGAAGATATGATGATGATTGGTGAAGAATGTAGCCTTGGAGAGTAATGCAAACGACAGGAGCAGGATCCCCCCGAATCCTGAAGGTAATTGCTCGAATAATTATGGTTTGCGTGGCTTTGAAATTGTTTGGGGTTGATATTGGGAAGGACGTTTGAACAGAAATATAATAGAAAAGTATAGACAGGAGGGAACAAAGGGGTGAAGGGAAACGAGGCCCGATGCACTGTGAGAAGCAATGAAAATGTGGGTATTCAGCACGAAATTGCGCTTAATTTTTTTATCAATCGAAAATTCAAAAATATATTTGCCTGAATTTTATTTGTTTTTACTCTCTTTTATGGAATACTTGATATTAAATTTAGTGTCTATTTATTATTCGATCAAATTTGGAATTTTTAGTGAGGAAAATGATTCCTGTCTCTTTATGTAATAATTTTGGAAATTGAGACAACGCAAAAATTTTCAGCGAAAATTCAATGAAATTCCAAATTTTGAAAAACCAAAAATGATATTGATTTTTTTGCAATGATTCACGTGAAATTTACAGTTTTCATCAATTTTTCTATAAAATTCTGGATTTTTAATTATGAATTTCCCTTATTTCTATTAATTTTCATTGCATAATTGAACACAAATGTGCAATTTCTATAGGTTTTTCCATAAAATTGTAAAATTTAAATGACAAAATTCCGTGCAATTCCATCGAGATTGCAATAAAAAAATTCCAAATACTATTCCAGGAATCCGGAAAAAATAGTGAACAATGTACACCCAAGTATCGAGCGTAGAAGTTTAATTCTCCCTAATTCCCCTCAATTTGAAAAATTCTTGAATTCATCCCTCCGGGGGTGTCCTCGTGGTATCGTAGCCCCAGAGCGAAGTCACCCTCTTTTGAAATTACCACCAGCCGGTCCGAGGCATGACACAAAGCCCGTCGCGTCGAAAATTGGTATTACCGAAAAACCGCCTCTGGGTAGAATGTGCACGCAGAGAGACAACACTTGTCTGTTCTGTTTCTGTTGTGTCAGAATCAACACCTTGATCGTATTTCCTCGTTTCTCCGGCTTTATTTCATTTGGAGGGATAAAAAAGGCGACTTTATTCGCTAGATTTTCCGGATTAATCGGATCCTGAACGTTTCACCCTTAAACTTACTCGGGATTCAATTAAATCGGCACGATGATGTCCTTGAATTTTAACGAGGTGAAGCGCCGTGAATTAGGGAGAGCCCCATTGACTCGGGGGTGGCAATAACGTATGGAGTGATATGAGTTTCTTGTCTGGTTCGTTAACAGGTACGTGGGCGGCTCGAGGCGAGAATTAACGGGGGTGAAGGAGTTGGTAAACACAAGGCGAACGCAGAAGAACAGACATCCCTCCTCTAGTTTAACTAGGGATGGAAATCATGCCAGTGGACTTTTAGGGAGTTGCAGTGGTGGAAGCGACGCACTGGCTGAACTTACTATTGAGGACCTGGCAGCCATACCCACTGGCAATCACGGGGGTCATCATACAGGTCATCCTTCCCATCATAAGGTCAGTAATATCATCATTAACACCTCCTTTTTCGGGATTATGATTTTCCCAAGTCGTAATTTTGAATAATTCTAAATCCCATAATTCGATATTAATTAAATTAATATACTTGTGGGATGAAATTCAATTATAATTCAATACAATCGTAATATTTAGAGGTAGACTTGAACCACTTGTGTCTGAAATCAAGGCACTCTGCCTCAAATCAAGTTGAAATTCTCCGATACTGGAACTTTATCATTTTGACAAGAGTATCGACTTTTCCTTCCGGCAAGAAGTAGAATGAACTTCAATTGGCAGGAGTACTTGATACAATCCACAATGTGATTCACCACTTTTATCGCTCGAGTTTTACGGTTTCTTTGAAACAGTGAAGGCCTTCAGTCGAAAGATTACGTTTTATTGGAAGCATCACCTTGCAGCTAGTGTGTCAAGAAATAAAATGTGCGGTTGTAGAAGGATTGAATCAGAGATGTGTCTGAAGAAAGAAAGGATTCTTTTTTAAAGACATTAGTTATCCAACTATTTCTTGATTGATAAAATTCGCGTTTCATGCGTTTAAAAATATGAGAAATTGACGTGCAATTTCATTTTTATAAAATTGTTCATCAGACCCGTCAATTATTCTAAATACCTAGAGGTGATTTAGAGCCTTTACAGGGAATTACGAAATATAACGAGTGAATATAATCACTTCAACACCAGTATTTCACTGTTCCATTCATCGATCCAATCAAAACAAGGAAAAATAAAACGCGAGGATGTAGAAAGATTTCATCAGAAGTGTGTCTGAGGGAAGAAAGGATTCTTTTTTAAAGACATAGTCATCCAACTATTCCTTGAGGAATAAAATTCACGTCCAATGCGTTTAAAAATATGAGGAATTGACGTGCAATTTCATTTTTATAAAATTGTTCATTAGACCCGTCAATTATTCAAAATACCTAGAGGTGATTTAGAGCCTCCACATGAATTACGAAATATAACAAGTGAATATAATCACTCCCACACCAGTATTTCACTGTCCCATTCATCGATCCAATCAACTTTTCTTCCTCCCCAGCACTCGAGTCGTTTTTTTAATAATCCCGGGACTCCAGACTCCATAATGGAAGCGATTATTTCTCGGTTCTTCTCACACTGGAAAAAAGAAACAATGAAAAGCCCGTCTGTAGGCGCACCACAGTCCTCTCTATTTTTTTTTCTCTCTCTCTCATCGTTCCTTGAATCCTCAGTGTAAACCCCGTGTCAGCTGTTGCATCGTGCAGCTGCCTTCGATGCAGGATATCGCTGAGAGAGACTCATGCATATACAATGTAAATATCCATGTCAAAGTGCACGCGCGTGACGTAATATTAAATAAAGCCCAGTCAATACATCAACGCGAACATTTTCTTTGTGTCGCCGTCTTCCAGGGGTTTCAGGGGATACTCGAGGAAAAAAGTTGGACAAGAATTACTGAACAAGTCGAGTAATCGTTGAACGGAATCCATTTCTCGAGACGAATAGTGAAGTTTTCTTCTTTTACTCGGGAAAATTTAGTGAACGTGCACTGTTGAAAATTTCTTGAAATTTCGTCACAGCGTCGGCTAAATTTTCGATTTTGTGAGGTTGAATTCAGTTTCAAATGAGTGTTCACTAAATTTTTCATTCATCTTGAAAATTCAAGATAATTGGGGTTTTCATGTTAAATAATCACTGATTTTTCAATGAAAGCTTGAATTTCCAAACTCATCGGGACAATTCAATTTTTAATAGATTGAGAATTCAGATTAGTTGCTATTTTAATTTGAAAAATTTTCACGAAATTAACAGATTCATCAATGGAGAAATTTTCACTTGAAATTTCAAGAGTAATTTTCTAAAATTTACCATTTAATTTTCATCTTCATATTTTTATCAAATCAATTAATTTCATGCCTCTAGTTTGTGTTTAAAGTTTTTTTATTGATGTCTATCAATTGACAATTCAATTTACAAATTTAAAAAAATGGCTGACACATGGAAATTTTTACGAATCAAAATGTCTTTTTTTTCTGTTTATTATTCTTCTCGAATTACGAATATCTGCTTGAATGGGATTTGTTGATGTCCCATTTCTCAATTTCCATCTTTCTAAAGTACTAATTTTCCGACTTATCGAAATATCTGACTCCTTCATCAACAATCAGTGATTAAACTTGTAAAACCGAATTAACATGAAAAAAAAATGTCAGCAGTCAAGGGCTCATTAGTAATATACCCAAGTTTTATTCTGCAATAGGATACAGAGCGGAGAGGAACGAGACACTTGTGAAGCCTGCGGGTTTCATTAACAAGAGTTCCTCTATTGAATCACTCATCCCATCTACCATCAATTCCGCTTATTTTTCTTTCCTCTTTTGCTTCCAACATTCAAGCACTATTTACCGGGGAGTTGTGTACGATATTACCCTATATGTAGGTGCAATATGGGGAAAAATATTCTTTAATAGTATAAAGTAACTTTTTAGATCAGTATTACAGAAATTTCAGGAATTTCGACACTAAAAATTCAATGTTTATGGAAAAATCAATGGAAATTGTGAATTTATATTCGATTAATTTTTTCTCAATTCAGAAATGAATATTTCACTCCTAAATTAAGGTATACTCCATTCGACAATTGAATACAATGAATATAAATAATAATGAAAGGCAAATAAATAATAATCATTAATAATAAATATTCTCCATTCAACAATGAAGTATTCATTCCCAAAGTCAGCAATTCCGTATTCTCAACAAAGAAAAAAAAAATTCAAGTAAAAGAAAATTTTATTTTTTCTTGAAAGCACTTGAAAAATAACGTCCGCCAGATATGCGAAAAAATCAATAATTTTTTATCGCAATTATCATATCATTAGTGTTCCATCAGCAACAAAACGACTCTTCCGCTGCACGCGATAGCTTTATTTCTCGAGGGGCTTCGGCTTTGTGTTATTTTCAAATGCCCTTAACGATTCAAAAAGTTCGCACAGTTACAGCACACGTTATGCTGATTCAGCTTATACGTCGTATCTATATACTATAGTGGAAAATGACGTTGAAGATTGGAGGTAGAAAGAGCTCAGTGAGTACAAATGAGTTATGCACTCGGGTCACGTCAGGTCGTGGAATCTAAAATCGATATGTAGTTGCACGGATAAATAATAAGTATTTCCCTGGCCATCGTGAGGATCATTGATATTCTCTTATATTGGAAAAATATACCGTTAGGTAAAAATTGGTATTTCATGGATTGTTGACTGGTTATTCTTGGGAGAGCAATATTGGATTCAATTTAAGGCGAAAATAATCGTGAAATTGTAGATTTCAATGAAAATTCTTCAATACTGAGAGAAAATTTCTTGTTGATCTGAGAAAACTCAATAGGTTTATACCGTAGAAGGAATGCATTGACGAGGAAAGAATATTTTTTTCCCAAAAAAAATTGTCGCCTCGAAATTATTTAGTTTCGCCAATAACACAGTTTTCGGCAAGAAAATTGTAGTTTCCTCTTGAAATTGTCAATGAATTTTCAATCAATTGAGACTTTAAGAATGTATCAACCTGAATTTTCATGGAATAATTGCACCGAAATTTACAATTCCCATTGACTTTCCCATAAATTATTGAATTGTCAATATTGAAATTCCTTGAAATGTCAGTGGAACCGTTGATAAAAATTTTTACCACTAGTGTATTCTGGATAGGTGTCGGTGAGGGAATACAATGTGAACTGAATGGCAATTCATCAAGTTTAATATTTCACCTTATTCATCTTTCAAAATCCGGGATGTATTCATTGCTTTGTGAATTTTTCAATTTTATAGAGCGCATTCATCTTGCGAGATAAAATCTGTTATGGAACTATAAAAGAGATTTATGAGACTGGAAAAATTAAATGGGAGGAAAAAGCATGCACTCGGAGGTATGAATACAAAGTTTTGAGGATTAATATTTAAACGGCCATTTTCCAACTACCAAATGTTTTATCACGTGTTTTTCCATTCGAGATCTACCCAACTGCTCAAATACTGAATCCTTCACTCAATTTTCAGGACACAGAGACAATGAGTATCAAAGAATGATAAATTCGAAACCTTCTGTTACTCCAATGGATATCGTGATATAAATATTAAACTTCTCATTGAATCACGGAAATATTGGATATTTGAAACCTACAGCGATACAAAAGCTCAGCATGATTCATATCGATGAGTGCATCTATTGGCTCGCATATTTTTTAAATTTCATAGCTGAGAACATGAGTCTTGAATGATAAAATCTGCTTGTAAGGGTAAAAGAATTTTTGTGATCAAAAATAGCGATGAAAAGTATTTTTCTTACAATAATATTCAAGCTTTTTCCACCCTTTTGATCTTGCAAAGGTGCTGTATTTGAATTCATTTCACATTTCCCACGCTCATCGCCCTAACAATCTTCAATAAATTCGGAACTTCAAAAAATTGAAATAGAATGAATAAATGACGGGAAACGTTTTATGATTCCATGTCATAATGGGATTAATGTCTTGTAATGCTGCCGTCATAAATGACTAGTGACTAAATAGTCCTCAAGTGTCTTGACTTGAGACAGAAAAAGATGTCTAAAATTAAATGAAAATGTCTGAAATTAACGTCTACACCCACCGAAGACACTAACATCATCGGATATCTCCGCTTTCCGGTCTTTATACACCTCCGCTTGACTCAAACTTGAGGGGTTGCATTCAACCGGACGCAAGGGATGGTATAATCCACTATGGATAATACCCACTGACACCCGTCCCCTCCGCGTCCCCCGGCACCCGGGGAATTTGATATTTCGGATTTCTTCGGTCCAACATTTTATCACGAGTAAAAGGGTCACCAGGAAATACCCAATGTTTACTCGGAAATTCAATCACACGATTTATTTGCTCTGTGGTCTCTCCATCAAGAAGACAGGCGCAGATATCTAAATTGAACTATCTTCACAAAATTATCATTCTGTATTTTTCAGGGGAGTGACATTAAATTTTATTTAGGAGAAAAACAGTTATGAAATTTCGGATTATCATGGAATTGAAATTTACAATTTTTATTTATTTTTCTGAGAAATTTTAAATTTTCAGTGACGAAATTTCTTGACATTTCAGGGGAATTATAATTCGATAAGAACTTCCAAAAAGTAATGTTGCAAATATTTGAAACGTGAAGCCGACTGTTGAAAAAAAGTGGAAATTTCATGAGCAGTTGACTGGTAATTTTCATTGAATTCGGTTTAAGGGGAGAAAAATAATAAAATTTGAAATTTAACTTCAAATTCTATGAAATTCCAAATCTTTGAACAGCAGCAAAAAAAAAATCCCAAACTACTTGAATTATCAATCGCAACATAAATACTCAGTACCAAACGCCGCTGAATTTTCAATGAATTAAAAATTCAAGAGTACATTCACCTCAACTTTCTCAATTTCTATTGATTTTGAATAATTGAGCTGAACTCCCCAATTTCCGTTCATTTTCCATGAAATTCCAATTCCACCGCCGAAACTCTTTCAAATTTCCGCGAAACTCCAGTGCAACCAAAATTTCCAAAAATCCTATCGCAAATATAATCCAAAAAAAAACAGTGTAAAAACTCTCAACTTCCGAAATGTCACCCAGTGGTCACTTCCAACACATGTCCCCCCATTCCGCCCAGCCAAACTGATCTATCACCGCAAAACATCTTTCACATGTCACACCTACCCTCTCACCCCGACGTTTTCCCTCAGTTGACAATCCGTAACTGGCGAAAGTGGGGCCGTAGGAACGGTGAGAACAATGAATTGACCCTCTCGCAGCAGTTTCTGGTTACCGTTCGTGCGGTAGAGTATGATATCCCAGCCCCAATGCGTGTCCTCAAAACTGTGTTCACTCCTGAGGGGGAGAGTTTTCGTTGTCTCACCAACCCTCCAATTTCCCCCCAGGAACGACGAGAGAGAGAGAGAGA